GTAATGTTATTAACATGCAATGCTACTGTATGATACTGTGTCATCCAAATGCATAACATTATCAAAAGTTACAGAGTATTATGTCAGTTTTTTCACATGAATGAGAAAACCATTACGCAAACCCAACGCATTAAAAACAGAATATTATCAAAATATGAGTTTCAGGAATATTATGACACATTGGTCAACATATTAATGTGTTACTTCTATTAAAGTACAAAGGACATTAGTCATTTGTGAGTAGTGGCTCTTCTTTGCAATATTTGATAATACTCTAGACTTTGTATTGACCTGAGCTAGGTACAGGTGTTAATGTGTTTATGTAAGTTGTGTTTACGTCCAGTGTTATTTTTTATATCTTCAAGACTAGCTCATTGATTGAGTCAATTTTTTTTGCCTTGCTTTGCAAGCCTGTCAAACCTAGGTAATGGTGATTTTGGAATAAAAATAAAAATATTATTTTTGGCCTGTTTGCACACTGCTGTATAACAATGGAAATATTAGACAAAAGTTAAAACTTTTTAACAATTTTTATTATGCCTACCGCTGCCATAAAAAGAAATCTACTTTTCTTCCTCACAATTGAATATTAAGCAACTTCAGGAATTACCTAGCAACATAAAGACAAACTCTTATCTATTTTTAATCTTCAATAAAATTACATTTTATTTTTTCTCTGCTGAGATGCCAAATTTATTATTTTTTTTCAGTGGACAGTGATTGATTTGACGGCCTATGTTTGTACGAATATTGTACAATGCAGTGCGAGTGTGCAAGCTTTTCAGCTTTTTCAGGTTGGCAAATAGAAGAATAAGAATAAAATACAAAATAAGTAATTTAAATATTGAATTTTTGTGTTCATGTTTATTAGGTCAATGTAGACAGCTGATTTTATCACCTAAAAGCTACATTGAAACAATATAACTTACAAGGTACATACAGTCATAATAGTGTGAAAATCGTTAAATTTACGACCAGGCAATCTAACATTTAAGGGTCTACATATGTATAGAACACAGTAACAGTGTTACTGTACTATTTATGTTTCTATAATATTAATAATTGGCAAGAATAAATTTTATCAATCCTATTATTAAAGTTCCCAACTTGCTTTTCAAAATCAATTCAAAATCTTATTTTTATTGTTTATTTAATTCTTCCTTAAATTGGGTGGCCTGTTAAGTAATATTTGTTTTCCCAAACCTCAATGCATAAATTTAAGTGCAATTGATTCAGCCATAGTTAAAAAATAACAAAAGCAAAATGAAGATGCATTCTTAAGACAAATATAAGATTGATCTAACTAGAATTTGCCATGATTGAACCCACACCCTAGGGATTGGTAGGTGGGCACTACATGAGCATTACCATCCTTTAGTGTTACTATTAAATTAATTGCATTTGAAGTGAAGTTTCATTTTCGGAAATATATTAACCTTAAAAACCCTGTCCAGACTATCAAACTTTATTTGACAAAAACATGTGGCATACAGTACCTAAATATGGTCATAATGACACCACATCACTGTCTCTTATACACATCTAGATGTGTATAAGAGACAGCTGTACAGCCAGTGCCGTTTTCGCATAAATGCGAACGGGTAAACGTCTCCTACAAATCGACCGCTAAACGGCTGTAGCAAGCCTAACCCACACATATTTTTTATCGGTTAGAAAGCTAATGAAATTCTGAACATTTTGATGCCAGTTTTGCTATGGGTTGTTTTTTGAAAAGTTAGAGTAATTTCAGTTTGAAAATCAGATATGCCGAAAAAACGGTATTCAGCTGAGGAAGTATTTTCAGCCGTGCTGGACGACGATGGATCGGATTTAGAACCAGAAATAAATGCAGACAAAATAGGTTTAGGCTTAGGCCTAGACGATGTAGGCCTAGAGGAAATGGATATTGACGATGACTTGCTCTCGAATAGTGATGACCAAAGTGATGAAGATGCAGATAGGCCTAGGCCTATGTCTGGGCCTGACGATCCTCCGGATCAGAACAACGATGAAGTAGCTGTCCCTGCAAGGCCAAGGGGCCGTGGCAGACGGCGGGCGAATATATCTCATAACTAGATGTCTATAATTGTTATTATTGTTTATAATTAGTTGTCATTTATTGAATCATAAAAAAAGGTATTCAAACAAAAAATTAGTTGTCAATCTATTGTGATGTGTGCGGTTAGAATTGTATGTAGTTTATCGGGTATTTATTTGTAGGTGCAATTGTGTTTCGCTATACAGATACCTCAATTCATTTGTCTTATTTGTAATCAAGAATAACTATATTGATCCACTGTAATTAGATATTTACCTGGTCTGGTTTATATTTGACAATTCAATGTTCTTAGCCTACAAAAATGTTCTGCCCATAGTTTTCTATGCACAAATTTCAAATAAATGTGATATTCTCATTGATAATTTGTTTTCTTGTGGAAATCATTGTATTATATTGTGTTGCATTTTAGTAATTGTGGGTTACTTAGGAAAATAATTTGTTAGTAAGTTATCTTCAGGATCTGTGAGTTCATTTCAAAAAATGTGTGTGAAAACAAGAAAAAAAAACCAAAAAAAATGCATACTTCTCTGATTAAGAATGGGACAAAATATTTTATTTGGGATCCAATAATTGGTTATAAAAATAATGTATTATAAATAACATCAGCAACTTTTATTCAGAACTATCCAAATGTCTTTCAAACTCTGTAAAAATAAGCAAAGTCATAGCAAAACATTTTTTAATTATGGAGGAGAAAACATCTTCAGTTTTGAATCAAAAAATGGCTATAAATTGTAGAATAAATAGCATAGGTATATGTAAAAATCTATGCTGAACAAAGTTTTTTTGGTTTATTTTTTCATATTTTCAATAGTTTATGAGTTATGTGACAAATAATAACACACTATCAAAATTAGGCTTTAAGCTGACCTTGGTAAATAATCAGCTGGCACACAGCGTATTATGGCAGTGTAATCAGCTGGCACTGTGGTTGGCTTAACACATAAACAGCCGGCAGTGAAAGGGTTAAAAGTTTGAAGTTTTTCGGAAAAGTACTCGAAATATGGCGGAAAGTCAAAAATTTGCACTAAGCGCTCAACTCGGCGAGATAAGCACTTTTGTGCAAAAAGTGACAATGTTAAAAAGTTGATTCAAAATGTAATTTTTTTTTGTTAGGCACGGTGAGATAGCCTTAAACAAAGACTATCCCATTGAAAGTTTGAAGTTTTTCGGAAAAGTACTCGAAATATGGCGGAAAGTCAAAAATTTGCACTAAGTGCTCAACTCGGCGAGATAAGCACTTTTGTGCAAAAAGTGACAA